GACCCGAAACGTCAGCTTTCCTGCTCCTCTGATGCTGCTTGGCCTGCTGTGTTCATCCAGCTCTATGCCTTGTTATCTCAGATTCTCCAGCATCGGCAGTTCCTACTATCCCTGAACCATTTTAAAACAGGTTATGGTAGTAACAAAGAATGAAAAAGTAAGTATTAAAATGCTGATGTAGGGGTAAGTGGATGCGAAATGAATTTTAAACTTAATGCGGCGACAGGTGTATTAGTCCTCTCAGACACTGTAAAATAGCAGCATCAAGAAACACTGTAGCCACACACCATTTGAATTCATAGACTGTGATACATTCAGTTAAAAGTAACAGCCCGGTTGACTGCATGAGTGCACGATGTAGAAAGACCAATCTTCTAGTCTTTATACATGATTCAAAATCAAGAATGGTCCTTATTGAGCAGAAAAGCACAGGGCAATCTGTGATGTATTTTCAAGGTTGATGAAGTTGGCAGCGAGGAGAAAGGAGATGACTCAGAACAGAAATCCTAAAGTTCTTCATTGGAAAGGCTAAAGCTAGCACATAAAGCTAGATATCCTTAAAGTTGGGAGCAGATGCATACCAGTTCGCCTACTCACACCTAAAAAAAGTTCTGCTCCTATTTAAAAAAGTAAAACATGAGATTGAGGCAGTATTTCAACAAGCAGCGGTTTCATTAGTGACCAAATTACGAAGAGATTTTCCACATTGCGTCAATTCCACAACCAAACAGCTCATTCAGAATTTGTGTCCATCTGGACAGTAAGAGAGGGAGAAATTCACCCTATGGTATTTGTTGTGAAGTTGGGCAAAGTAATTGTAGATTGGGAGGCAGGAAGTTAGAAGTTGGTGTTTGTAAAATGCTGGGGGGGAAAGCATTGCATGGTCCCTTTAAAAGATGATGTGGTTTTTCTGTGCTTAGAGACTGGATGTCTGTGAGCAGCAGCTTGAAAGTTTGCAAGTACACAGAGAGTAGCTGAATTGTATCGAGAAGTCATACAGTTAGCAGGCTAAGCAGCAGTTTTAACCAAGACAACAGGCTTTTGAATTTAGCCAATCAATTTGAACCAGGCACTTAGATACCAAAAACCTGTTAAATTTAAGTCTGATGGTTTTGACAACATAAGAACAATCCTTTTGTAAGAAATATTGGTATGTCATCAAGGGTATAAAAAGGAGGGGGCAGTTGGACAAAGATTCCAGAGCTAGTTGCCATCTGCCAGAGTTACGGCCCTCAGCTCTTAAGAGAGAATTACTGGATCTCACAGCCTCCTCTATGTCTTAGAGAAAGCACCATGTAAATAACAACAGTATCAATGGCACAACTAGCTAATATTCCTGACAGGAGAATCGACAGAGAAGAAATTCCTGACAAAGAGTTGACAGAGAAGGCACAGAATCTGGCTGTAATTTTGAGAGACTAAATTCTACGTTTTTATATAAGTAGGACTCATATTTATTGGAACAGCATATGATTATAATCTTGCTTTATTTGGGAATCGTTAGTAGTTAGAAGGGATTTATTCAGTTTCTTAATTGTTTAGTTAATTTGTTCACTGTTAGAGTTAGATAAATAAATTGTTACTTGTTGATTTTAAAGTGAGTGTGAGGGATTTATTTTGTTTAACCACTAAGAGTTGCAGGAAGGCAGGTTACACCACTTTTCACACTCCTTTTACAGATTATAGGGTGAGGTGCTCCCCTTTGGGTGTTTCAGTTTTAGTTCTCAGAGGGGGGTCAATCTCTGCTTCATAACAGTATCCAGGGATCAAAGTTTAGCAAAGCAAGTGAACAGCATAACTTTAACCAAAAATGATGTTTAAAGTGGTTTCTGATTGTTACCATTATGTAAAGAATCTAAACTTCTCATCCCATTCAGCATACTATTTGGACTGAGCTCTCACAGCTGACTACCATGTTCTTCAGACATATTGTTCATGTATCAGGCATTACACCAGAGCCGAAGAAGAAAAGGACTATCCAGGAGTTTGCATTATGCAGAAATTCACAAAATGGGAGAGGTTCAAGCAAATGGTTAACTATGTGGTCAATTATTTATCATATTTTTCACAAATAAACAAACGATTTTTTGTGTCAGGTCCTCAGACATGTTGTTGGAATAAAAATCAGCCAAAGCCCCTTGAAAGAAATAAAGGAAAAGCTTACATCCTCTATTCCACCACAGCATGATCCTAAACTGCCAGCCTTCATAGATAAACATCAATTGGACTAGGGCCTGTGTTATTTCAAATTTTAAAAGGTCTGGAAAAGAACATCAATTTACCCACATTTTCAAGAGAAACTGATCAAAGATGCACTGTGGTTGAAAAAGAAGTGCTAGCAGCAACATGGGCGTGCTAGCAGCAACACGGGCATGCAAACGACAATTCTATCATGTCCTAGGGTTGCAAGGTGAAACAGAAACATACCACAAATCATTAGCAATGTTGTTGAACACCAAAGCAATTGCAAGAAGTGACACACTGGATAAAAACATTCAAATTAAGATTAATGAGATATAATGCAACAACAGAAAGTATCACCTGCACCAGAGGAAGGAAGACAAGAACTTCATTGAAGAATTAGAGAAATAGAAAAACTAATAACAGGAGTAGACCATCCTACCCTTTGACCCTGCTCTGCCATTCAGTACAATCATGGCTGATCCTCTAATGCCATATTCCTGCTTTCTCCCATGCTTTAATGCCTTCAAAATCTCAAAAATTGTCACTTTTCTTTCTTGAATATATTCGGTGACTTGGTCTCCATAGTCATCTGTGGTACAGAATTCAACAGGTTTTGTATCCTTTCAGTTTTCCACATCTCAGTCCTAAGTGGCCTACACTGTATCCTGAGACTGTGTCCTTTGGTTCAAGATCTTCCCTGTATCTAATCTGTCCAGCCTGTTAGAATTTTATACATTTCAATCAGATCCCCTCTCATCCTTCCAAACTTTGATGAATACAGGCCCGGTCAAACCAATTTCTCCTCATTGGACAGTTCATTGGACCACCAGTATCAACCTAGTGAACATCCACTGCACTCCCTCTGTAGCAAGTCTACCCTTTCTTATTTATGGAGACGAAATATGCACAAATATTCCAGTTGGCGAGGCCTTCACATCCTTGCCTGTAGAGCAAGTCCCTTTTAAAAAGGAGTTTGTATTTTCATGTACATTTGGTTCGAAAAGGACAAATTAGCTTCAAAAGACACAAATTTGCTCGCAGTCTTGTTGTGATGCTACTGCAATATTTGATTCTAGTTCTCCTTCATCATGTAAATGATTTTGAAACATGATAAATAAAAGAATCAGTCAAACTAAAGAACTTTTGCTGTTGGTATATTCTTCAAGAGATTTAGTGCCTGAAACAATAATATTTCGGATGAGGTCAGACATAGGCTGACTAAACCATAATTAATGCCCACTTGCAGCTTTCTTGAAATAAACAACAACATTGTATTCCTCTTCCTTTTATTACATTTGGATCAGTGGATCAGTGCACTAGTTTTGAGTGATTCTGAACCTGGACACCTAATCTCTTCCCTTCTCCAAATTTCTAGTTGTTAGTCATTAATAATTATTCTAATTTGTTTCTTTTTGCTTTCATCATAATCGATCCCGAGCTAAATCCACTTGCCACAGTTTAGCCCTCTTAATTTATTTCAGTTCAATTGTAACTTCCTGCTCCCATCCACACAATTTACCATGCTATCTAACCTCTTACACCCTTTTGAATAAAGTGGGAATTGCAAAGACTAAACAATGTGAAATTAAATTGTGATAATGACAGTTTAAACACAAACACATTAAAAATTATCATTATAAACTATTCTAAATTGGTTCATAATGAGGGGCACACTTGACTTCATTTATTGTTGTAACAGTCAATGAATATCTTCAATGTGAAAGAAAACATTTGATTCTTGATATAATTTGTAATATTTATCTAAAAAACATCGAGAATGTATGTTTAATAGTATTGTGACAAACATCCATTTTCTAACAGGACCGCATACGAATCTATGCACCAGTTCCTATAGATAAACAAAATCCGATTAGAGTTCTGTCCCTCTTCAGCAATATGACTAAAGGTGAGAACTGATTCATCCTACCTGACAGCATAAGACATTTTTACTTTCAACCTTTCCCTGTTAATAAATGTGCAGAGGTATAAAGCACATGAACTGATCTTGTAATCTCCATGACAGCTCTTTTTCCAATTGTCTGACCTTTCAAACAAAGTTCTGTGCTAACAACGTAGAACACTGGATTTATCAGATATGCAGAAAAATGGTCACTTTAAATTAAATGGCATAAGCATTCCAATCCTGGAAACTCCTCAATGCAAAGATTACCCCCCGGCTGGAAGTCACTCCCTGCCCTAACGACCATGCACCCTCCCCATTTTCCCTCCGTCAGCCCCCAAAACCTGCCTGATTTTTCCAGACAATGTAAAATATGATTCCACAATCTAATTCTCTCACCACAGAGTGGCATTCACAGATAATGCTTTCAAGAAAAGGTTACTGGATAAAAAGAGCACCAACTGCCTGACCCCAGTTTGTTGAGATGTTTAGTGTGATGGTAATCTTCACTTCTGATTTTTTTGTTAGTGAGCAAGCACAGCATTTTAGGATGATGTGACAACACTCGCTTATTTCTCTGATCTTACAATAGGCTGGAGTTTGGGCTGTTAGTACAACCATCCCCTACCAGGCAGGTTCCAGAGAAAGGGCTGGGCTGGTTGGGACATACCATTCATCAGAATTACTTGTATTGCTGCTTGAGAGTGTGCTGGACGTAGGTTCATTTGACCAATTCAAAGGAGAATAAGAATGTTATTTCAAAACAAAAATGTGTAGGGTTACAGGAAGAAGGAGGAGTCTGGCACTAAGTGAAATGATCATTTGAAGAGTCAATGCAGCTAACACAATGGGCTGAATTGCCTCTTTATGCATTGCACTAATTCTGTTAATCTGTCATTCTGTGAGTGATGTCTTTATTTGTCCCTAACACTGAGTATCCATACATCATGGTGGCTCAGTGGTTAGCAGTCCTGCCTCACAGCACCAGGGACCAGGTTCAATTCCAGCCTCAGGTGACTATCTGTGTGGAGTTTGCACATTCTCCTTGTGTCTGCGTGGGTTTCCTCCCAGAATCCAAAGATGTACAGGTTAGGTGGATTGGCCATGCTAAATTGCCCATAGTGTCCGGCAATGTGTAAGTTAGGTGGACTAGCCATGGGAAATGCAGGTTTACAGGGATAGGGTGGGGGTGTGGGTCTGGGTGGGATGTTCCTTGGAGAGTTGGTGTGGACTTGTTGGGCCAAAAGACATGTTTCCATACTGTGCAGATTCTATTGTAGGAACTGTTCCTGGCTGAAGTGAGATTCACTCTCCTTTCAAAGGAAAGTTTGTTTTTGTGGCAATGGATTTTAGAATCATCAATCATGTTTGAGAATATAGCAGCTTCAAATTAGATTTTAACAAATTGCTCAGCTCTCCAGCTCTCCAGTCCCACTGCCTCAGTTGTATTAAGGAAGTGTGTACATCGGTCCAAAATATGTTTAATTTCTGTGTTCTGTATCCTGGACAAGATTACAAGGGCTCCTGCCCTGATCTGTCCCCCAGAAAATGAGTGGATAATTTCCAGGCTTTGCTTCCAATGAGTAACACTTTCCACTGGGAACACCACATTTTGGAGAGAATATAGCTCCTGAATATAACCACATATGCCACAAGCAGAGCTTTGAGGAAATTGAAACAAAACACAAAAATCAAATGAAGAAAAATAAAGAACGAAAAATAAAGAACAAAAAATACAATTAAATTTATGTTGACTCAGTTATCATCTCTTGTTTTCCTCAGCTTCATTGTCTATGAGCAGTAAATTCTCTGATTTCCATATTCCCAGCATGTAGCCAGTTTTCAAGAGGACGTGAAGGATCAGTGTTGCGTGCTACATCCCAGGCTCCTGCATGTGTGGCTGCACTTTGAGAATACAAAATGAGTGAACCTGTCTGTAAATATGTAGCGCCATGTGTTTCATAATATTTGCTTACTGTGTTGATTCAGATTTACAGGACATTGGAATTTTGGACAGAGTTCATAATGCTAATCAAGAAATGTTAACGTTTTTGAAGGATTTGGACAATGTTACTCGACAAAATGTAAGAACAATAAATTTAATCTTAGAAATGGGTTTTGGTGTACCCTTGACATCTTTGTAAATTAACTTTGCACTGTATATGTGTTTACATGTGTTCTGACTTTGTCACAACAGATAGAGCAAAAGGGACCATTTGACTTTGTGATTGGTGTCTGCCAGGAGGACACTTCAGTTCATCATTGTTCAGGTAAGAGCTATTAACAGTTGTTTACCTGTGAAAACAATATTGTAACACAAGTCCAAATCATCATCAGCAAGATTGACAAATCTGCTTATTTCTACCCTCTAATTGTGGCTGCTCACACTTCTGGTATTCCTTTCTTTATCTTCCTATTCTTTCATGGTTTCATTTTACAAATTTCCTCCCTTCAGTCCACAGGCATGATCTTGAGCTTCCAGTGTTCTGGCATTTTAATTTTCCAATTTGTCCTTAGCCTTCTGCAATGTACCAAATAAGCCCAGCATAAACTTAGAGATCAGTGTCTCTTATTTCAATGAGGGTACAGTATAGCCTTCCAGCTTAATAATGTTTTCAACAATTTCAGATCATGATCTCTGCTCCCTGATTATTTCCTATTTTGCTGTATGTTTTTTGCCGTACTCCTGTTCTTCCCCTTGTTATTGATCTTGAATAGAATTATGCTCATCATTCTGCCTTTTACACTTCAAGATGTACTTTTTGTTCTTGTTCAATACCACTGTATTTAATTCTGCAGCTCTCTATAATTCTGCAGCACAGACTGCTTTGTCACTTGGCTCTTCTCTGCTTCACAACATTCAAGGCTATGGGGTCTAGTCTGGGAAAATGGGACTAGTGTAGTCATTGTATACTTTTGGTAGTACAGCCTTGATGGGCTGAATGTCCTCTTCTGTACTGTACAACCTATGATTCTTCCTATGACAGACATGATTACATGATTCTAACCTATTGTATTTCAAACCCTTCAGGATTCTGATTACCATTAACCTGAAATGTTAACTATTTCTTCTTTCATAGATGCTATTAAATATTTCCAGATGTTATGTTTCTAATTTAAGAAAACGCCCTACTTCTTTTTCCCTGTATTAGGCAGGATCATTTTTCAGTATTACCGTATACTTCAATATGCTAGGCCCAAAGAAACAGATGAACGACCATTCTTTTGGATATTTGTGGATCCAGAGATTCTGACCCAAAAGGACATTAAAGATGCCTCACGCTTTCTGGAGGTATTGTGGACTTTCCAACATTGATATCATGAGTGAAACTTGATCAATGTTTGTTCATGCTGAAACCTCAGTCCCACTGGTACTTTTAGGAAGAATTATTGTTCATAAGTCTCAACACAATACCGAGAAAAAAAGGGAAGTATGTTAGCGTAAGGGGGAAAATTATCCTAAATAGCATTGGAGTAATTAAAGGCCCAAAGCATCTCTTGCAAATCTCCTGGATTTTCCTATAGATTTTCTCCTCTCTCTCTCTCACGATTAAGAAGCATATTGAATACCCTGGTAGTGTCAGAATACCATTGTTACCTCTCAACTCTAAAATAAGAAAGTAAGAAAAAGGACTGAGAGTATATTATACGATATGCTGAGCCATTCAGTGCAAGATCGTGACTGATCTTCTGCATCAACTGCATTTTAATGTAATTTTCCCCCTTCATAATTGCATGAGAAACCAAATATCTATCTAAAAACCTGTCTGTCTCAGGCTTAACTTTATAAAGCATGCACAGTCCTCTGGGATAGAAAATTCAAAAGATTCACAACTCACAAGAAGAATGCAGAATATTTTCCACATCTCATTCCTAAATGATTATCCTGAGTGTCTGGCCCTATGTTCTAGATTCTGAAGACAAGGGAAGTAGCCACTGTCTACCCCGTCAAGCCCTTCACAAACTTGTGTGTCGTTGAGTTCATCTCTTATTCTTCTAAATTCCAAAATGTGCAACACCGACTTATTGAGCCTGTCATCACATGCAAACCCTCACATTCCAAAGACCAGTCAGATAAGCCTTTACTATACTACCTCCAAACAAGTGTATCCTTCCTTAGGTGTGATGCTGAATATTGTGTACACTAGTTCAGGTGTCGTTCCACCAAAGCATGGGACAATGACAGTATAACATTTGCATTCCAATCTTCTTTCAATAAAGGCTAGCGTGCTATTTCACTTCCTGTTGGCTTGCTGGACCTGTTTGCTACCGTTCTATGTTCCTTGTACAAGTACACCCAAGTTCTTCCGAGCATCAGTTGAGGTGGGATTGAGCTGATCATGGAAGAGATTTCTGTTGCCATGGTCCCGTTTGTCCATTGCATCTAAATTGGTTTGTCCCAGCTCCCATAGTGCTCTTTTGGATACTACACTTGTCCCCTCACTCTATCAGTAATCTAAATGTAGGCATGGTAAAGTAATTCCAAGTCTTTATCACACTATATACATTAGTATATATACAGTCCTGGTTAGAGCATGTCCCTTCAGATAGTTACAGAGATAATAGGAACTGCCGATGCTGGAGAATCTGAGATAACAAGGTGTGGAGCTGGATGAACACAGCAGGCCAAGCAGCATCAGAGGAGCAGGAAAGCTGACGTTTCGGGTCGAGACCCTTCTTCAGAAATGGTGGGGGGGAAGGGGATTCTGAAATAAATAGGGAGAGAGGGGGAGGCTGATAGAAGATGGAAAGAGGAGAAGATAGGTGGAGAGGAGACAGACAGGTCAAAGAGGCGGGCTTGGAGCCAGTAAAGGTGAATGTAGGTCGGGAGTTAGCGAGGGGATAGGTCATTCCAGGGAGGACGGACAGATCAAGGAGGTGGGATGAGGTTAGTGGGTAGGAGATGGGGGTGGGGCTTGAGGTGGGAGGAATGGTTAGGGAGGTGGGGACGAGCTGGGCTGGTTTTGGGATGCGGTAGGGGGAGGGGAGATTTTGAAGCTTGTGAAGTCCACGTTGATACCCTTGGGCTGCAGGGTTCCAAAGCGAAATATGAGATGCTGTTCCAAGTCGCAAACCATTTCAACTCCCCTTCCCACTCCTTGGACGACATGTCCATCCTGGGCCTCCTGCATTGCCACAATGATGCCACCCGAAAGCTGCAGGAACAGCATCTCATATTTCGCTTGGGAACCCTGCAGTCCAAGGGTATCAATGTGGACTTCACAAGCTTCAAAATTTCCCTGCCCCTGATCGCATCCCAAAACCAGCCCAGCTCGTTCCCGCCTCCCTAACCATTCCTCCCACCTCAAGCCCCAACCCCATCTCCTGCCCACTAACCTCATCCCACCTCCTTGACCTGTCCGTCCTCCCTGGACCGACCTATCCTCTCCCTAACTCCCCACCTACATTCACCTTTACTGGCTCTAACCCCGCCTCTTTGACATGTCTGTCTCCTCTCCACCTATCTTCTCCTTTATCCATCTTCTATCCGCCTCCCCCTCTCTCCCTATTTATTTCAGAATCCCCTTCCCCTCCCCCATTTCTGAAGAAAGGTCTCGACCCGAGATGTCAGCTTTCCTGCTCCTCTGATGCTGCTTGGCCTGCTGTGTTCATCCAGCTCTACACCTTGTTATCCCTTCAGATAGTGTTCTTTTTTCCTCAGTCTGCAGTTTAGAATGTTCTGCTTATGTGATGCCTACATCAAAAGTCATATCATGGTCTGATTTGCTTTAACTCTTCACGCAACATCTCCCTTCCAAAGTTTTGCCTCAAACAGAATTCTTATTTACATTCATGCCATCTCCCCTCCCAACCCCCTCACCAAAATCTTATTTCACATGTTGAGTATCTCTAATGGTTTCATCACTGTTCCTATTTTTGTTCTTAGTATTACTGGCCTAAGATGTTGGTCTATTCTCAGTTGTGGGACTCTAGAATCACAATTCGATGAAGAGAGTATCATATCTTCTCAACCACAATAGTATCAATACAACTTGCTGCTCATGTTTCTGAAAGTATCACAGCTTGTCTACTCCTTCTGAAAACTCCAAATGTTGTTCAGACAAGATATTATTGCAGCTGTTCCATTTCTTTGAGAACTTCACAGTTTGTCAGACTCTTATCCATATTAGCTGCTCTGTTAGTAGAGGGTTTTATACCACTTCAATTAATTTCCTTTTTTGCCACTGTACATGCAATTTTATATGGTGGCGATCTTTTGCTGTAATGTTTTGTGTGAGCTGCTGCTTTGGTAAAGGGATATAGGTTTTTAATTTTTGACCAATTAAGAATTCTGCTGGTGAAAGACCAATCATCAACGGTATTGATTTGGAATACAGATAATGCAATCCAAATGTTGGCACTTTTTCAAACAGATCCCATTTTGGGCTCATTGATTGATAAATATGGTAGGACATTCCCCACTTGATTGACCATACCAAGGAATCTTTGTATGTTCCCAATATTTTCGAGTTGTGTGAATGTATAAATCATTGTGGATTTCTGGGGGTTGATCACCTGTTGACCAAGAATCTTACCCACTTTTGGCTCCTTCCATCAGCACATGTTGCTAGGACTTATACATTGATACTCAATCTGTTTGGCTGCATTATGTAACCACCCTCTTCCCCCACCATCAAGTCCTGAAGTAAGGCTTGAAACTAGCTTTTGGTTCAGAGGCAGGAATGCTACATCTGCATCACAAGTCATCCTTGATGAAACACAAAGTAAGAAAATGTATTCTTCATATTACAGTTACTACAATCCCAGAGAGCAAGGTTAGTGAAACAGAAGCAATTTCATGAGTAAGAGACCTGCATTCTAACTGTTCTAACTCATGGGGAAGAATTCATAATGAAAGACAATAGACAACTCTGTGTCATGATGAGAAAAACTTAATTTCCGATCTTTCATGTTATTTATCAGAGTGGAAAGAATGTTAAATTATTTAGCATAGCTTAGAAAAGAGAATGATCCTGCAGTGATCTTCAAAATTGTAAACTGAACTAGATGATTATTAAGTTAATGACAACAAATGGAAATGTAATCAGTTCTCCCAATGCTAAAATCATCCATCAAACTGCAGTGAACCAGAGGAAATGTTAAAGAGCTTTAACATTGTCAAAGCAAGTCCAGATTCTTTATCTAATATGCTTACTGTGGCAACATATAGGGTGGCACAGTAGCTCAGTGGTTAGCACTGCTGCCTCACAACATCAGGGACCTGGGTTTGATTCCAGACTCCCGGGCGACTGTCTGTGTGGATTTTGCACATTCTTCCAGTGTCTGTGTGGGTTTTCTCCCACAACCTAAAGATGTGCAGGTTAGGTGGATTGTCCATGCTAACTTACCCATTGTGTCCAGGCATGTGCAGGAGAGGTGGCTAAGCTGTGGGGAAATGCAGGGTTACAGGGATAGGTTCGGGGGGTGGCGGTGTTGGCGTGAGGGGCTGTGAGGTTTGGTGTGGACTTGATGGCCTGCTTCCACACTGTAGAGATTCTATGTTATGACTGTAAAAGTGTCTTGGTCCTTTTCTGCAGTGTGATCCTGTAATTATTCATGATTCTTGTGAGTCAGCAGTTCGGCTGTGGAGTAATATACCCTCACTCAAAAGGTAAGATGCTAATGAATTGACTAGAGCATTAAGATAGCTAGGAGTTGGGTATAATGATTTAGAGTTTGTGTTCACGCGAAGAGAGAAACTACACTTTGCATGGTATTTTAGCAAGTTAATCAAAAGTAACAGCTTGTTTTGGTGCAGTGCTTTTAATGTAACAAAGCATCTCAATGCTCTTCAGAGAAGTATAATGATAATATGGGAACTGAGCAAAACAAAAGTTAAAGACATTAGAAGGGTGGCCAAGAATCTGTTAAAAATTATGAATAGTAAAGTGAGTCTTACAAGAAGATAGAGCTGTGGAAGAGTTCAGGAAGGGAGTTGCAGTTTATATAGTTTAAGACATGATGATGGGCAAAGGTAGGGATATACTAGATGCCTTTGCAGAACTCATAGTAGAGTGTTTGGGAATGGAGGCATTGTATAACTGGTAGAAGTTACAGTCATGGTGGTGAAAGCCAATTAAGAGATTTGAACATAAGGATAAGGATTTAGGGTTTTTGAGGACTATGGTGAAAAGCACAGTAGTGGGGTGAGTTAGAAATCTGTTTCAAAGAGCCAACATAAGAAAGCCATAACATCACTGTGCACATGGAAATTGACCTCATGACTTAATTTGATAACTACGTTACCACCCTGCCACTGAAACCTCTGCCCCAGGGGATCAGATAGTTGGCATAGAAATGAGTGAGATGGAGGGAGTGCTGTGCCCATCAGTTTCATGCCTTCACAGGTATTTTACCAGTGATGAGGTAAGTAGGCTGGTAATCAGGTTGAATAGCTAATTAATAATGATTTAAGAGCCTCTTTTTATTCCTATTGACATTTTACCAGCAATGGATGGGCATCTCCCCACCTGGATAAGCCTCCCGATAGGCCAGGGCTGGGCAAGGATAATTTCTGATTTGGCAGCTCATGACCCATGGATGCTATATTGCATCCCGTCATGCCAAGTGCAGCTTCCTGGCTGGATGTTTGCTCTGCCCATGCGATTGAACCCCCCACCCCTGATCCACACTGGGATCTGCCCGATTGGCCTCAGTGATCCACAACCCCAGTCTGGATCCCTTCCATGTTTGCTGGTCCAGGGCTTGCTGTAGCCCCACTGTTTGCCACCATGCAGTGGTGACATTTCTAAGACAGAAGAGCTGCCAGCTTTTGGAGGTGAGCCATCTAGCCTGAGAGGAGCAGAAACTATGACTGCAGGCAGCTACTTACAGAGTCATAGAGTCATGCAGCATGGAAATAGACCCTTTGGTCCAACCAGTCCATGCCGAACAAAATCCCAAACTAAACTAGTCCCACCTAACTGCTCCAAACATTTCTTATTCATATATAAATCCAAACTTCTTTTAAATGTTGTAATTGTACCTGCATCCACCACATCATCAAGAAATTCATTCCACACGCAAACCACCCTCTGTGTAAAAAATTTGGCTGTTACGTCTTTTTGAAATCTTTCTCTTCTCCTCTTAAAAATGTATCCCCTCGTCTTGAAATTTCCCATCTTAGGGAAAAGATAACTGCCATCAACTCTATCTGTACTTCTCATTATAGTATACACTTGTATCAGGACGCCTCTCAACTTCCTGTGTTTCCAGGACTCCAGGAAGTGGGCTTGATCCTGACAATCCAGCTGGAAGACAGGGCCACAATCTGCATATTGATTGAATCAGAGATAGTAGGAACTGCAGATGCTGGAGAATCCGAGACAACAAGGTGCAGGGCTGGATGAACACAGCAGGCCAAGCAGCATCATAGGAGCAGAGAGGCTGACGTTTCGGGCCTAGACCCTTCATCAGAAAAGGGGGAGGGGAAGGGGGTTTTGAAATAAATAGGGAGAGAGTGGGAGGCGGATAGAAGAGGGATAGAGG